TTATTAGATTTAACACAAATTTAAAACTTTAAACTTCATTTGTAAGTATTGTGCTGTATTTTTCAAGTCTGTCATTCGGGGATTGGCAACGACATCTATGTATGCTTGAATTGACTGTTGTTCTCATCTAAAAATTTAATCAGCACCACTAAGCTTTTAAAATTTGAATGATAGCATTAACTTTCTCTGATAATAATAATTAATCTAATTTAAAGAATTTAATTTGTCAAAACATGTGAATTAGTTCTGTCTTGTCCTTCCTGTCCAATTGTCTGTTTGTCGGCATGAAATTAATAGAAAAGAAAAGGTTAAAACTAAGTTTGGAATTTTGTTGTACAGACATACTTTTGAGGAAATGTAAAGATAAAGGTATAAATTTTTTTATTTTTTATTTAAGAATATAAATTTTTTAAGTTTTTTAATTAAATATTAAGCTTTTATTTTTTATAAGTAATGTTGCAAATTTTGTATCATTTCTATTTAAGAATTTATTTAATATAATAGCAATGTGATAAATAAAAATTTTAATCAAAATAAAACAAAATTTATATTTTTAAATAAAATTAATAACAAAGTTTGCAAACTTATCTTAAGTAGTTTAAGCTAAATTTTCAAAGTACTAAGGGATGTTTGTTTTGAAAATTTAAAAATAATTATCAACTATTAGTTTTAATTAAATGAATTACATATTTTAAATTATAAATATTAATAATTTTTAATTATTAAATATCAATTATTAACTATTAACTATCAACTATTTCACAAATACTAATTCAAACAATTTATTATAAATAGTATTAGCTACTGAATTCAATAAGTGATCATCTCTTCTCTCTAAAAAAATATAGGTATCATTTGATCTTGACTTTTCAGCTCAAAAATATTTTGAATATGCATGTTAAAAATTTTGCACTTTGATCATATATAAGTGTCCATGTGTATAAGATTTACTTTTGTTTGTCAAATTTGCATCACATGCACATACATGAGAGGAGTTGAGAGATTAGAAAGAAGTACCTTTCCAACGGGCAAAATCTAAAATCAGAAAATAAAGAAAAGAGTTGTTCAGTGACTCCAGTCTGTCTTGCGAGAATCAGGAGTTTTAAAATCATTGAGCCCATGTGACTCCGTGAGGCCCACTATTACAGCGGCCTCTGCTTGTAAAAGGCCCCAAATGTAATTCGTCATGGGAACGAATCATAGGCTGCGTAAAAGAAGTAGCAAAATTAGATCAGCTTCCACTAAAACCTGAAAAACACCAGAAGCATTTTGACGTTTCTTGATTTTTAATGCAGTAAGTGCATTGAACTCAATCTTCCAACAATGGGAAATACAGGCACCGCAGAATTCCTGGAACATCAGCGGCGACCTATGCAACGGAACTGCTCTGAGCCTATACAATTCCAACAATCCGGCCATCGCATGTGATTGCTCCTTCAACAGTGCTACTACCTGCCACATCACCAGACTGTACTCTCTCCGTCTCTTGCTGCTCCGGCGAACGCATTCACTTCTGTTTCGAACTTTTGCTTGGTCGCGGAGTTGTACTCTTAACTGTTTGTCCATTTTCCCAGGAAAGTGGTCGCACTGAACAGACAAGGCGGGATGCCGGAGGAGCTTTTGGCTTTCAAATTCTTAACCCATCTGTGCGGTTTCTCTTTTTTGTTTTTTGTTCGTAGAAAATGACATTTTATCATTTTCCTGGAGAGTATTTAAGAGTACTAAATTGTTCATTGTTTGATGATGCAGGGATCTCGGGCTAAATTACCTCACCGGTCCCTTGCCGGCATGGATTGGGAATTTATCTACATTGCAGTACTTGTAAGCATGGATTCTGGTGGTCTTATGAAAGCATTTTATTTTACTTTAATAAATAGCATTTATCAAAAACTTTTGAAATTTCCATGCCTAGTTTTTCTGACTTTTGGTTCCGGAGGTTAAATGCCTTTATACCGTCTAGATACATGTATCAACCTGCTAATTGTATCTTACTTACTTTATACTAAAAAAGAGGCATTGACCCTTGGTTATGAAGCTAAATCATTCAAGTGCTGAAGATCTTCAACTCCGTGAAGTGAAGCACTTTGTGTTTACTTCATTGTCTCATTTTATACTCCAGCATTAAAAACCATCATTTACACTGATTACTATCAATACTTCTCACTTATTTTCTGATTATGTTGATCATGCTTATTCTGTAGGTAAAACTCATTGATATTGGTCTGTTATTTTTGCTAATTCTTATTTGAGAAGCCACTAGTAATTTTTTGGGTTATGTTTTTTGTGTCAAGGTCTATTCTCGCCAATGCATTCTCTGGGCCCATTCCTAAGGAGCTTGGAAATCTTAAGGAGCTAACTTATCTGTAAGACTTGAAGAAATTCTACTTTGTCATCATAATGCATCAATTTTTTTTTTATTTCTTTTTCATCTGCCATTGTAATGCATCGAATGGTTCTTTTCTACCACATACATTTAGCCTCTAAGTTACATCGTGCATAAGTTTGGTTCTTGGTTATTACGAAGGTGCCTTTCTTATAAAATGAAATATCAATTCAATATTATGTTGAGAGGATTTGAAAGTCTGGAGAGAATTTGTTTCAGAGGGGTGATGGTGGAACAGGAAGGAGACACAGCCACAACTCTATTAAGTAAAATTAATTGTGGGTATGGCAGTGCTTACTAGTTTATGTAACATCCTTTCACAATAATAACTATACTTCTGAATTCTGATATACATTGAATTGATGAATTCCAGAAGGGATGATAAATAACTTCAGGTGTTCAAAATTGGTATCAGTTTCAACCACCTTTGATAGAAATGCGAGGGATTGTGGATAATTTGAGTGATTTGGTCTTTTTATGATTTTAATATAATCTTCCTATAAATGGTTTCCAAGAGGTCCTGAGGTACTCATCTTGTTTTATGTATGATGTGAAGTACGGATGCAATATGGTAGTCAAGTCACCAGAAGATTTATGGCACTGATGGAGACAGAGTCTGTGTGGCTCTTCTGAAAAGCTTGGGACATTTTATGTTGATTAAATTTCACACAAAACCCTCACAACATTCCTCCTTTTGAGAGTTGAGAGACCAGCAAAATCTCTCGAAAGACTTTTAATCTTCACTACTTTTGATATTGAGAATTGCAATCCCTGTGATTGGTTTAAACATAACCCCATGTCAATTTTAATGGTTTCTCTTTCTCCATAAAAATATTTTATTTGAATTCTTTCATGCAGAGCCTTTAGTTTTAATAATTTCTCTGGAAAACTCCCACTGGAACTTGGCAATTTAGTCAAACTTGAACAACTGTGAGTTATAACTTTCTTCTAGTTCTTTGTAGCTCAATAAGTTTGTGCAGTAACAAGCATATCACTGGAGACTAAACAGTTTTGGTTTATGAATGTATAGTTACATTGACAGTTGTGGAGTTGGTGGTGAAATTCCCTCAACATTTGCTAACCTTCTAAACATGCAATTCATGTAAGAAAGTCCTTGGGATCATAAGCTGTATTTATTTGTCTGCTTATGTTTCTGGAGAATCTCAAAATCATCTTCTCTTACCCTGTCGTTAATAAAGAGCTTTTTGGATTTTAGGGTTTTATCAGACAATCCTTTCACAGGGAAGATACCTGATTTCATTGGCAACTGGACAAACCTTATATTATTGTAAGTTACAAATACTTCCTCTACAATTTTTAAAGCCATTCTTTTTTAATTAGTTTTGCCTCATTTCTTCAACAGTGAGATATATCTAGTTTGTTCTTTCCTGATTAGCCTGCAAAATATTTTTGTAGGAGACTTGAAGGGAACTCCTTTGAAGGTCCTATACCATCCAGTTTTTCAAAATTAATCTCTCTAAAATCTCTGTAAGTAATTATCCACTTACCATTTACTCTCTCTCTGCATGCATGATTCTGAAAGTATGTATAATACCATCCAGTTCTTCTTCAATTCTTATCTATAATCATGCAGGCGAATCATTGGTTTATTCAATGTAAGCTCTTCTCTCGATTTCATTAGAAATTTAACGAGTTTAACTAACTTGTAAGTAAAAACTCTTTATCATGTACAGAAACCTGTATCTTCTTTTGTCTTCGTTGTGTTTGTGTTATTAGTTAACTAACTAACAAACTTTACTCATTTCTTTTGTTCTTATTTTCCTGCAGAATTTTAAGAAATGCATTAATTACTGGGAGTATTCCATCTCATATTGGAGATCTCCAATATTTACAAAATCTGTAAGATATGTTCACACTTTGCTTGATGAATGTGTTGTCTATGAAATTTGCTTCCATTTCCTATATTAATTTAATTCCTCTTTTTTTACCAGGGATTTGAGTTTCAATAACTTGATGGGCCAAATTCCAACTGCTTTGTTCACCATAAGTTCTCTTATATACTTGTAAAGTCATAGAAGATGCTTCAAAATCTTGATTTATGTCAACTTCATTCTTAGTTTTTCTGGTCAACCTAATGCCATTGAACTGATGGTATTAACCACCAACAGAAAAAAATTGACTGTATTATATACTGTCAATGTCCAGGTCTCTTGGAAGTAATAGTCTGTCTGGGACCATCCCTAGCAATAAGAGTGTAAACCTAAAGAATATGTAAGCCATACCATTCTGAGCATTTCTTTATTTGAATCAATAACTTCTGCTAACTTTCTGCTATTGTACTTTGACTACTTTCTCATGCAGAGATTTATCTTACAATTTTCTGTCTGGAAGCTTTCCCTTATGGGTGTTTCCCCCATCGTGGAACACAGGCTCACAACTGTATGTAGCTTGAGCTTATTTTTCTTTTAATTGATGTCACATTATTAATGCAATAGGAATGAAAGAAAAAAGTTCAAGATCTACCCCAACCATCTCCATTAAATCCTTGTGAGAGCCAATGACCTAGTTTTATTTTCATTTTGGTGCCTAACTTGCATCAATGATCAAAATTCCAATGCTCAACTAAAAGTCCTCTGGAAGTCTTTTTGGTTATGAAGAACCATGATAGTCATGTAGTGCACACCTATGTATATCATTTCTAGAAAAAGTATCTGTCACTTTAAATTCATGAATATCTGGATTGTTACAACTGCTATGACAGATGTTTATTTGTGTTGTTGCTGCTTTGTATCATGTAGGAATCTGGTAGCCAACAACTTCACATTTGACAATTCAAACATAAAGTGAGTTGTAGTTCTTAAATATCTGTTTGAGTTTTACTTGTCTGAGTTTCACTCTTTTATCCACCTTAATCTAAAGGCATAAGAAAATTGGTTTCAATTTTTTTCCACAATGGAAGGCATTCTTTTATAATTTATAGCACCAATAAGAAATAACTATTTTATTTATTTTCAGTCTTTTTCCAGGATTGAATTGTCTTCAAAGAAGCTTCCCGTGCAGCAGGAACTCTCCACACTGTAAGCTTCTTTTGCTGCATTGCCTTGAGATAGCTTATACTTGGCATTATGCTGTTATCACAGAAAGAAACCTCAAGTAGAGGCGAAAAGTCATAGACAATTGTATTTTAGAGTGTTCTTAGACTCTCAGTGACAAATTATCCATTCCTACTTTCCTAGTATCAATCATTCTGATCTTGGCCAATTGAAATATGCATGCGTCAATGGCAATTGTAAAAAGACATTAAGTTCATCCTGCTAGAACTTCAAAAGAGAATTTACTAGCTGTTTTTAATCTGTTATAAAATGATGGCTTCAGTAACCTGCTGGGTATTAATTTCTGTTGCTGGAATTATAATTATTGTTCTTAAGTAACTTGTCAAGCATATTTAAATATTTGATGTTGGTAGATGCAAACTTCGCAATCAAATGTGGTGGCCCAGAGGTGACTGTGGATGGGATAACATATGAGGCTGAAACCTCTTCTCTTGGCATAGCATCATTTAATGTAATCGATACCAAGAAATGGGCAGTTAGCAATGTGGGTTCCATTATTGATGAAACTTTTGAAGGCTATAGGCAAAACAGCTTGGAACCAGTGAGAAACACAAAGTCGCCAGAGCTTTATCAGACTTCAAGGATATCCGCTGGATCACTCAGATACTATGGCTTAGGCCTAGAGAATGGGCCTTACACAGTTAACTTGCTTTTTGCGGAAACAGCTCTCAGAGATCGCAGCATCCATACTTGGGAAAGTCTGGGAAGGCGAGTTTTTGATATTTATATTCAGGTAAAATTTCCATAAGAATTATAAACCATTTTCCATATTGCATTTATGGATCATTTTATTCAAGTCCTCAATGTAGCAAACGTTTCTAAAATTTCAAAATTTCAAACTTAAGTTTTACATTTTCAGATTTTTAATCATAATCAACTGTTCCTAGGGAACCATTGTATTGAAGGATTTTGACATATCAAGCGCGGCAGGTGGGGTTAATAGAGCAATCACTAAGGATTTCATTGCTACTGTATCAGAGAACCATCTTGAAATTCACCTATTATGGGCTGGTAAGGGAACTTGTTGCATACCACCAGCAGGTTCCTTCGGACCATCCATTTCAGCAATCAGCGTGGTTTCAAGTAAAAAATGAGATTACATAAGAATCTTTGTTTATAATCTAAAGTCATTTCTATCTCTTTTGCCTTTGCTAATGCCTAAAACCTGTTGATCAGATTTCACCCCAAAAGAGAATAGGACTTGGTTGATTGTTGGTGTTGCAGTTCCTGTCGGAGTTGTCACCTTCACCTTGATATTGATATTTGTAGTCTTCTACTTGAGAAAGAGAAATGATGATGATGAGGAAGGTAAGAGTCCTAAAGAGTGCAATAGTAATAGTTAATTAGCATGATATTATTACTAACAATAGCTGGGCCAAATTGGTACCCACTAACTTAAAAACTTTGATTTGGGGTTAAGATCAAAGGTTAAAACCTCTGTGATGCCAAGTATCTAACTCTCTGACATACCAAAAGAAAAAGGTCATGATATTATTCATAGCACTGATTCAGATTAATATACTATGGTGGATCTGGCCTCAGTGCTGCTGAATGAAGTTCTAGGCTCCCCAAACCAAGTTCTAGGTTAAGCTCTTACTGATCTTTAGACATAATTATTTTCTTCTTTATTACAAGGGTGGACAAACAGGTTTTTAAAGGAAGAGATATTCAAGTGGTTAAAGAGGATTTATCTCCCTCAATGGAGAGAGAAACTGTTTTTTTTTTTCAGCTTCTTCGTTGATGTTGCTGCTCTATCTTGTGGCAATGCATTCACAGGGGACCAGTATTCCTAGTGCTCAAAAGAACATATTTATAATTATATATAGGATGTAAATTTTATTTGAAGCTTAAATGCCAATTTTGGTTCCTCAACTTTGGAGTTTTGCATAGTTTTGATCCCTCAACTTTTTTATGCACTTTTTGTGTTCCTCAACTATAAAAAATATACTTTTTAGTCATTTTGTTAATTAGTTTGTTAAATTTGTCCAAATATGCACATTTTTAGCCCCTAAACTTTTAAGTTGAGGGATGAAAAATGTGCATATATTATAAGTTGGGAGACTAAAAATGTGTATATTTAAGCAAATTTAAGGAATTAACTAATGGAAGGATTAAAAAAGGGTATTTTTTGTAGTTGAGGGACTAAAAAAATGCATAAAAAAGTTGAGGGATGAAAAATATGCAAAACCCTAAAGTTGAGGACCAAAATTGTCATTTAACCTATTCTTATTTACTCCTTATTTTTCTGATTAATATATTAAAAGGACAAAAAAAAAAATTAGAAATTATACAACAGCCCATGGCCTTTAAACTTGAGATGCTGAATCCTCAGACCAGTGTTTGTAAAATTTGAACATTATATAATTATCTCCTATTTCATCAGTAGACTTTATTCCAACTTCTTCTCTTGAATTTGTAGGGCTTCTTGGAATAGGACCCAGACCAAACACCTTCAGTTATGCCAAGTTGAAAGCTGCAACAGATGACTTCAGTCCCTCAAATAAGTTAGGAGAAGGGGGATTTGGTCTGGTATACAAGGTAAGCTATTGGCTTAAAGTCTTAGATCTGTTTTCAATAAGATTGAAGATCTATATGACAATGTTACTAAATAAAGCGTTTTAAAAATATTATAGGGTAAACTTTCTGATGGGCGGGTAGTGGCTGTGAAGCAGCTTTCAGTAGCATCTCACCAAGGGAAGAGTCAATTTGTTACTGAGATTGCTACCATATCTGTGGTGCAACATCGTAACCTTGTTCAATTGTACGGATGCTGCATCGAAGGAAATAGACGCCTCCTTGTTTATGAGTATCTTGAGAACAAAAGCCTTGACCAAGCACTCTTTGGTATGACTGAACAAGTTATTTGCTCCCTTTTAGCCTTTATGCTGGAAAATGAAACACATCTGAATTCATTTCTTCACCAAATTAATCACTCCATAACATTTCCTGCTTCACATGCAGGAAAAAGAGAGTTGCATCTTGACTGGCCAACCAGGTTCAGTATCTGCCTGGCAACTGCAAGAGGACTAGCTTATCTTCATGAGGAATCGAGGCTCAGGATCATACATAGAGATGTGAAGGCAAGTAACATTTTGCTTGATGCAGAGCTGTGTCCGAAAATATCTGACTTTGGATTGGCAAAGCTATATGATGACAAGAAAACTCACATTAGCACCCGCGTTGCAGGAACTATGTAAGCTCCTTGAATCACTATATCAAAAGAGTATCTAAATGCTTATTTGCATTATATTGTAGCTCATATATGTTATTAGGTTTCATAGCATCAAACCATCAACGGAATCCAGAGACTTAGTATCATAGATAGAGAAATCATCTCAATAAACCTTGAACATGCAAATTTAATAGCTTAATTACAATATTGGCAGTGGCTATTTGGCGCCAGAGTATGCAATGCGTGGCCACCTCACTAAGAAGGCAGATGTTTTTGGCTTTGGTGTTGTTGCTTTGGAAATCGTCAGTGGAAGACCAAACTCTGACAGCAGCCAGGACAATGAGAAGATCTATCTTCTTGAATGGGTAAAGAAAGAAACTCTGTTCTTTTTTCCTTCTTTACAGACACATTCCTTGTGCATGAGATTTACTGATACAATGTTTCTAGGCATGGACTCTGTATGAAAGCAACCAATGTCTTAGTCTGGTGGATCCAACCCTAGTGGAGTTTGGTGAAAATGAAGCTTTAAGAATGATAAGAGTGGGACTCCTGTGCACGCAAGCATCACCAATGATGCGACCCCCCATGTCAAGGGTTATAGCTATGCTTGCTGGGGATATTGAAGTGAGCCCTGTTGCATCAAAACCAAGTTATTTAACTGACTGTGATTTTGAGGACATAACAGCCAGCATAGAGGTTGAAAACACACCATCTACTGGATCCGAGCATGGTGATAACAAGAACAAGAACGATCTTAATCCAGGGATAGAGCTGATGCCTTCTCCATCAAACATTACTGAATTCAGTGACAATATTGCGAAAGGAAGGTGAGAGATGTTTTTCCTTAAAAGCTCCATTTTGCCACTTCTCTTGCTTTGACCTTTGCCTCATATTTTCTAGCTCAATAAAATAGATACTGAAATTGTGTGAATTTCTGTCATTCGAACCCTTTCCTTTATATGTTGATCATTTCTGTGTGTAAATTGAACTGAGATATTGAAATATTGGCATGCAATAAGGCTGCAGTGTTTGTAACTCATGGATGTCATTCCTATCATCTAGTATTATACTTCAAAGCTATAGGATTGTTTGTAATTCCATGTAACGTAATTGTGTCTTTTTTCTGGGGTTTTCTTTTTCCTCTTTGTTTTTACACACCACCTCTAGCACATGCCACACCACTTACTCCAGCCAAGACTCCAGCCAAGATATCAGCTCCTGTGTTTACAACCGACTCCAAATCAATCTCAACAGTCGAAATAGCACCACATGACTCCAATCCATAGAGCCACAGCAGCGCTTCTGAGTCTTTCAGCAGTGCCTTCTTCCTACAGAAAGAATTCAATGTTGCAAGAAGAACGACAACTGCTGCAGCGAACTCGGAAATTTGTAATTTAGCGTTCTTTACAGTATGAGTGAGTCTCATGTTGAGTTCCCTCGCAGAGTCAACAACCTACCTCCAAAAAGAGAGCGGCACCAAGCAATGTGCCTTCGATGCTTTTGCTGGAGGTGGTGGTGTGGCACTTGCTGAAAGGTGGACTCGTGGAGCTGTGGCTTCCAAGAGCCAGAGCTGCAGCTTCCAAGAGCCAGAGCTGCAGCACTAGATGGAGCTAAGGGCTGAAGAAGGGAAGCTCAGTGATTGCCTCTCACTGGATTGCTGAGTTGTGTATCTATTTGCCGCTCACTAGAATTTCACACATCACTGGATTTTCTGAGTATGTAGGAGTATAAGCTAGGGAGGAACTGGTGTATATAGAAGAAATACATTTTTGCATTTGCTGCATTGATAAGGTGCAGATAGCTTTGAGTTTTTGCATTGAGAAATATGCGTGGGTCTAGAATGTTAATGCATTGAGAAATATGCTCCATTGATAAGTGTAAACGGAGGTGTGTTTTCCTTCCCCTTGGCAGCTATATCAATCAGACTGGAGTCATTTTATGGAAATACCTCATTGTTAGGGTTTCAATGAAATAAAATATATAAGACTGCAGATGCGCCAGTAGAAGGTTTTTTTGGTTGACTATTTTTGTTGGATCTCTGGATGCTGATAGGATTAAGGCATTTAATCTTACCCTTAATGATGTAAACAAGAATGATGCTCTGGGAGGTTTAGAGTTGGATTGGAAAGCTGAATTTGGGTGTTCCTTTGTCCTTATATTCTGTTGAAGACAAACTTTATCAAAGGGCTTACCACATATATCAATTGGCAAGTAGTTATTATTATCTACATTCTTGTTAAGATTATATAATTTTATTAATATTTTATTAATTTACAATTTTTATTTTTTTAATAGTTAATTATATTGTCTAAAAATATCTATATATAAAATAATTTTAATATATTAAATAAGAAACATTAATTATTTTAT